CTCGTGGACCCCTGGGGGTCCAGGGACCCCAGTTTGAGAACCTCTGCTCTCTAGGGTTCAGGTCAGGAGAGTTGGCAGTTCAGTTGAGCCCAGTAATACCATGGTCAGTAAACCATTTACCAGTGGTTTTGGCACTGTGAGCAGGTGCCAGGTCATGCAGAAAAATGAAATCTTCATCTCCATAAAGCTTTTCAGCAGATGGAAGCATGAAGTGCTCCAAAATCTCCTGATAGCTGCATTGACCCTGGCCTTGATAAAACACAGTGGACCAACACCAGCAGCTGACATGGCACCCCAGACCATCACTGACTGGGTACTTGACACAACTTCAGGCATTTTGGCATTTCCTTCACCCCAGTCTTCCTCCAGACTCTGGATCCTTGATTTCTGAATGATATGCAAAATTTGCTTTCATCCGAAAAAAGTACTTTGGACCACTGAGCAACAGTCCAGTGCTGCTTCTCTGTAGCCCAGGTCAGGCGCATCTGCTGCTGTTTCTGGTTCAAAAGTGGCTTGACCTGGGTAATGCCGCAGCTTAGCCCATTTCCTGCACACACCTGTGCACAGTGGCTCTGGAAGTTTGTACTCCAGACTCAATCCACTGCTTCTGCAGGTCCCCCAACGTCTGGAATCAGCCCTTCTCCAAAATCTTCCTCAGGGTCCGGTCACCTCTTCTCATTGTGCAGCGTTTTCTGCCACACTTTTTCCTTCCCACAGACTTCCCACTGAGGTGCCTTGATACAGCACTCTGGGAACAGCCTAGTCGCAATGCAATGAATCTAACATATATGAAAGTTTAATGTTTATCAGCACATTACAGAAAATAATGAACTTTATCACAATATGCTAATTTTTTGAGAAGGACCTGTATTTACAAACTATACAGTGGTCCTCAAGAGCCACTATCCTGCATGTTGTTCTTCTGCTTCAACACACCTGAACGGAATGAGTGGAGGCTTCTGTATGGCTTAAAGACGTGCTGACTAGAAGGGGAACACCTAAAGCATGCAGGATAGTGGGTCTCGAGGACCAGGATTGAGGACCACTGGTATAATAAAATAGAAGTGTTACATGTATCTGTATTTAGGTCTAAGAGCAAACTGAAATGTTGACCAGTTTTCCTGTGGGAAGGTGTTTCCGTTCAGTTTCAGTTCAATTATTCGGGCTTTCAGTTTTTAAATACTTTATTACAAAAGGATTTAAATTGTTATTAACAGCAAAACATATTTGTCTTGTTTCTCCCCCCAACTCACCAGCACCAGTACATACCTAACCCTAACCTCTAATCCACCAATGGTATTTCCCCTAATGGGGACCAGGCTTTTGTCCCTATAAAGAATAATGGGTCCACACCAGGCTGTGTGAACTGAAAATATACTACTAAAAGTCATCCCCACCAGGTAACAAACACACACGCACACACACACACACACACACACACACACACACACACACCTTGCTTTAATAAATTTGTTAAGAAACAAACTTACAAAACAAAAACACTTTTTCTGTACAGTGTATTATTAAGTCTGTATAGTTTGCCATTCCTGGCATCAAACATAACTTTGATATCCATATAATAAGCATCACCTCATACAGGCTGAGGCCTTTCATTGAAACAGGTTTACTTGGTACACCCTGAGAATTCTTCACATGCACTGTGGACCCATTCACAGAGGACTGGGACCCTGCCACACCATGCCTTTCACTCAGATGTCTCTGAAGAAGGATGTAAGCCAAAGAGCTATCTGACAGCGAGCTGTACAAGCTCTCCAGGCGCCCATAGGTCAAATAATCCAGAATATTGAGACCATTTTCACAAAAGAGACGCACAAACTGGGGCTTGTTATTAATCAGAGCATCAGTCATGGACTCCTCAAGGTCCTTGTACTGAAAAGGAAAAAAGAAAAGTCATTAGTTTTCTTCAATTTTGTAGAAATTCTTAAAGCCTCTGTATAATATRATGAAAAAATAATGTGGCCAATGCTGCTGATGACAAAGCCACTTTAACTAAGCTGATTTCAAGCTTTTATTTTGAAAGTCTGTTTCTGACTCAGAAGMTGCAACATGACAAACTTACTTGTCTTTATAATTTAATTACTTAAGGAGCAGATTTAGTGAAATATAATGGTAACAGATTTACATAATTAACTAAATCTTTTACATTTAACCAGAAGACTCTAGTACTAATTGTGACATTTTTTAAAAAAGATTAAAGTGTTTTCTGATCAGTTATGAAAATCTGAACAAGGTTCTGGTAATTTCAAATTTTAATTCCCAATAAAAAAAAGACATACTCTCCAATGTATGTCTCCRTTGAAAAGTTCAGATTTAGCAATGTCCACTCGGTTCCAGGCCACGGCCAGGTTTAATTCATCAAGAAACTCACTGGCTTCGTTGGTCTCATGTTTACCAGCTGAACAGAGAGAGGGTGGGGGGAGACAACATTTAAGCAGTTTGTAAAGCCAGATAAAGCAATTGACTCATRGTGGTAACTTTTCAAAGGAACAATTGGAACTAGACAAAATCCTTTTTTTTACCCATGAAATGACAACAAATGTAAAGAAAAAGTGTTTTCTGTGGCCCATTTCTTATTTTGTAGACGTAACTTTTCTTACCTCTTACGAGGGCTTTCAGGAGAACCATGTCAAAATCCTCAGAWCCCTCCTGTTCGCCATTGAAAACAGTAATCAGCTCCCTGTTCTGACAAATACTCAAAGCCTAGACACAGGATAAGAAAACAAATGAGTAAATCTGTGTTTGAATTACCAAGCAAATGTTATAAACAATCAGCTGGACAAATCAAACAAATAATGTCAAGTCATCAGTAGAAGGAATGTGGCCAATTTTGTACCAGAACCTGATATATTTATTTTTACAACACAATATTAGAATTAGTGGGGAAAACTATACTGATATAATCTGTAACTAATAATGTTTGTTTCTACAAGTTTCCATCCATCCATTTTCTTCTGCTTATATTTCTGGGCCTCCTCTCAGTGGGACGTGCCCAGAACACCTCACCAGGAAGGCGTCCAGGAGGCATCCTAACAAGATGACTCCTCTCAATGTGCAGGAGAAGCGGCTCTACTCTGAATTTCTCCCGGAGGATTAAGCCTCTCTCCAAGACACATGTGTCAACCCCACCCCACCCCCAAAATTTTCTTTTACTTAACATGAAAATTATTTCTTATATCAATGGTAAACTTTAAGTTTATGATTAAATGTAACAAAATAAAATTAAAAGGTGAAAAATAATAACAATTGTCCCGCCCCTGAGCTGTTGGCTTTAAGTAACAGAGCAATTTAGTTGGATAGCACAGCATTAATGTCTGAAAATAAGCTGCTTTAAAGTCGGCATCAACCATAAACTAAATCTGCCATAACGCAAACTTGCTACTCACTAGAAACTAATAAGTGAGTAAAACTTTTTTTAGTTTTACTTTTAATAATATTTCTGTATTATTTATTTCAGATTTAGTCAGTCATACACTTAGTATACTATTACTTAGTATTTAAAAGAGGACATATTAAAACACTGTTTAGTCAAAGTTAAACATGAAACGTCAAAGTTAATTACAACTGGCCCTTCGAGGGCCACCATAACGCTCATGTGGCCCTCAGTGAAAATGAGTATGACACTCCTGCTCTAAGGGATAGCTCAGACACCCTGTAGAAGAAACTCATTTCAGCCACTTGTTTCCGCGATCTTGTTCTTTCCGTCACCACCCAAAGATTGTGACCGTAGATGAGAGTCGGAATATAGATTGAGTGAGAATCTTTGAAAAAGTATCTAACCCAAAATCAGTACTTTATTTTGCAAATAAACTGTTTAAATTGGGCATTGAGGGTATTGTCTTTATACTTTTATGTACGTTTTGACATTTTTGTGCACATTGTAGTATAAAACCCATGTGAGTGGGTGCCTCATAAGAGGGCCCATTACTCTCCCCAAAAGAGACACTGAGCTTTTAATTAAACCTTTGCGTCCCTTGGAAGAACAACACCAGGACAGAAACACTCAGGGTTCTCAGCTTCTCAGGATCCATAAAAGGTTGTCCAAGAATTCGTTCCCTTTGGCTACTCAGGGCCAACCGTTGGCCCAAGTAGTGCAAAGAGGTCTCTAATTCAATGTCACAGGCATTGATTGAGCAAGTTGTGCCCATTTAGGACTCCAACCAAGGTACTTAAAGTTTTCTTTGTCAGGGCAAGAAGGGCTCTTCCAAACCAAGGATTTGGGCCTGTCTGCAATCCGTCAGCTCCCTCCATCGGATTGAGTGTTGACGTCTGATCCATGCCTCTAGGGCAGTCCTACAGATTGTTGTTGAAATGCCTATAGCAGGCTCTGGTCCTTTAAAGTGGACTTGACTGTCTGCTCTTGCAAGGTAGTCAGCTCTCTTGTTACCATAAATGCCAGTATGTTCTGGTACCCATTTTAAAGTAACACTGTTAAATCTCCCCAGTTGTTTGACTGCCTCGGCACACTCCCAAGCCAGCAGTGACGTGAACTGCGGCCCTTGGAGAGCTCTAACTGCAGCCTGGCTATCTGTCAGGATGAATATTTCCTTCTACATACACTGAAGTTCTTTGAGAGATGTCGCACACTGGTGGATTGCATGTATCTCAGCTTGAGATACCTTTACAAAACCACCTAGTGGGTAACTGTACTCTCTCTCACTGTGGTTGTGCAGAATCAGCACCTCTGCACCTACTGACTCCTTTATAAGGGATCCGTCTGTAAAACAGTAGAAACAATCAGGAGACAGGTCCAACGTAGAGAAATTACTCCAGGCTGACCTGTCTTCAATCTCTGTCTAAAACCTGGTTCAAAATTGTATTTTTTGACCATTCTGTCTCTGGGGCCTGCAGTTACTGGAACAGCAGCAACTGCCCAGTCTCAGATTCTAGTGTGCTGTGAGTCAGATAGGCTTTTCCACCTACCAGCCTGGTGTAAACCTTACTGCGCTGGATGCAGCCTCCCCTAAGATGTGTAAATTCAGTGGAGTCAGGTCCAGTAGGACTTCAAGGACTGCTGTGGTTGTTGTCATAATGGAACCCGTGATACTCAGGCAAACCATGTCCTGCACATGGGTGAGCATCACTCTTGCCACCCCAACTTGTACTTGAACCCACCACACTAAAGCAGCATAGCATGGTGCGGACTGTGGCCGTGTAGATCCATCTGATAACCTTTGGGGTAGCACCCAACGACTACCTGCAATTCCACGGCACTGGTGTAGGCATATTGCTGCCTTCTTACACTTTTCATTTACGTGTCTTTTCCAGTTAAGCTTCCTGTCTAGATAGACACCCAAGAACTTAACTGACTCTGACAGGGAGAGTTTTACACCCTCCAAATTTGGAGGTGAGTACCCCTTCCTTGACTTCTTTTGAGTGCAAAGAACCAATTCTGTCTTGTTTGGGTTGACAGAAAGTTCCTGCTCGCAGCACCATCTAGATACTGTTTAGTCCCCTTTGCATTAGGTTACATACAGTACCCAGGCAGAAGCCTTCTGTAAGTATGACCAAGTCATCTGCATATCCTTGTGTGTGAAGTCTAGATCTATTCAACTCACTTAGTAGGCTGTCAACAACCAGGAGCCAGCACAGGGGCGAGATTACTCCTCCCTGTGGACAGCCCCTTCTGAGGTTAATGGTTATCGAGCAGTCCCCCAGATTTGAAGATGCTTTCCTTGTCCGAAGCATGAAAACGAGCCATTTTGTGGTTGTCTCATCCAYGCCTTTGCTGGCAAGTGCTCTCTCAATAGCTTCGACAGGAACATTGTCAAATGCCCCCTGTATGTCCAAAAAGCATCCAAGCGCATATTGTCCACGTGCCAGACTGCGTTCTATTTGCAAAACAACGCCATGTAAGGCTGTTTCTGTATAAAACCTGCCTGATATGCATGTTGTTTAGCACTTAATGGTGATAGCATTAAGGTGCCATCTCTTATACAGTATGTCTATCTATCAACCTCTCCATTCCCTTCAGCAAGAAAAATGTTAAGCTGATGGGTCTGAATGATTTTGCTTCTCTATATGTTGGTTTACCAGGTTTGGGCAGAAATACAACGTTTGCCATCCTCCACCCAACTGGTACATAAATGTTTGCTAGACAAGCAACATATATTGTGAAAATGTTACATTTACATCACATCATGGATCACATATTGATCAGATCCTGCTGCTGCTGACTACATGACGAGACGTAAATGTAACATTTTCTACATACAGGTCAAATTAATCACTGCAATAAAATAATTGTTTTTGTCACTTTTACGGTGGATTGCATCAACTCTGTTACATTACAGAAGGGAAGCTTCATTGAAGTGAAACAAATTTGTGGATCATGTGTTTGATTACTCTGGCTGGCTTTTTTAGGGACCAGGATGTGTGACACAAAAATCTGAATTTTGGAAATGCATTAAATTTCAAAGTATGCGCATACAGATTGAATCAGAGCAACTCCAATTCAATTCCTGCTGGCACAAGATTTATCCCATAGAGAGGGGTGCTCGGTTTGTGTCTACATTATAATATACATTCTAAACGGTAAATGGTAAATGGACTGAACTTATAGAGCACTTTTCAAGTCCCTCCGGACCCCAAAGCGCTTTACACTTACAGACATTCACCCATTCACACTCACATTCACACACTGATGATGGCAAACTACATTGTAGCCACAGCTGCCCTGGGGCACACTGACAGAGGCGAGGCTGCCATGCACCGGCATTCTCGGCCTGAATTTTAAAGGAAGTACATCACTAATAGCTGTGGCTTATAGGCTATTGATTAAAATGGTACCGCTTGATGAATGCTTTTGTCACAGTTCAGGTATAAAAGCTTTTACTCAGTGAAACGCCCCCGCAGCGAGTCAGAAGTTGGACACTGTAATGAAAGTTTGTTACTGCTTTGAACATCAGCTCATATTAGCAAGGATGCTGCTAACATCACTTTAACACCCAGAAACTTGACCCATTCTTTCTTCCAATGACTCTGCAGCACCGGCTTGATGCATTGCTGAGTCAGTACCTTGAGACAGCAGCTCAATCCAATAAGGCTCAGACCCACTGGGTTCCACAGCCTCCCTCAACCTCCAGTGAGAAGGAGGGTGAAAATTTCTCCACCGAGACTAAACTACCATCGTTCTGGTTACTCTCTGTTTTAATTCAGAAACCAGCCAATTACTAACTACAAAGTTGCTGTTTCATGTAACCTGCAATATTTCCTRTGTAATAATTCTGTTTGTTGATGGTTAATCCTGCGAGCAGAGTGGTCAGTTTATCATTACTGAACTGCAGCACCGCAAGGTTGCTGCGGCTGCAATGTAGCTTACCATTATCAGTGTGTAAATGTGTGTGTGTGAATGGGTGAATGACTGTGGTGTAAAGTGCTTCGGGGTCCCCGTGGGGCTTGAAAAAAATGCTATACAAGTTCAGTCCATTTACTATTTTACAATATATTATTTTCTTTAGAACGTTCAGAAATATTTTCAGAAATGCTAGCTTGTGAAATTAAGTTAGCTGTCCCTCGTGACCACACCTCCTCCCTCATCCCCAAACTTGGCTGTGCCCCTCAATGTCTCTTGGCACTAAACATTTTGCTGGAATTTGTCAAATTTTCCTGGGGGTGGGGTTATGCTTTTTAAAAGTTGGATATGAAGTGTAAAATAAATGTTAGAAAGCACTGTAAGAGTGTGTGGCTCCAACCGTTGAAAGCATATAAAGCACTTTGCAAAACCTGGGTAAGGTTACATGGTGCTACTAACTGAAACTGTGGATCATTTATRTTTATATTTATAGATGTTGCAACACACATTACAAAAAAAAAAAAAAACAGACAAAGATTCACTCAAGACTCACACTGTCCATCAGTTTCTCCAACTTAGWTTCATTTGGGAAGTATCTTCGGACCTTCTCTCGGACCTTGTCACAGAACTCGGGGTTGAAACCCTCCGTGGCCTCCCCCTCTGCTGCTGAAGAGGTGTGACAGAGCCCCCCAGCTGACAGATTGTCCAGCAGGTCACTGATGAAATCAGCAGCTGGACCAGAACCAGCAAGAACCAGCCAGGGTATYGATCTCTTCAAAGACATGTCTAATCTCTGAAACAAAAAAGCAAGAGTAGAGATTGTAGCTTTTGAATTGAGTTGTGAACTGAAATGAGTGACATTAATTACAACTCAGTATTGTATTCAGTAAATAAAAGTAACTACTAAAACAGGAGTAGGAACTGCACGCTTAACGAAGTGGAATGTTGCAAAATTAACTACTTTTTTGTCTATTACCTTGTTTAGTGATTGAAACCAAATTTGGGTTAATTGTACAGCTCTATGAAAAAGGGCAATGAATAACTTAAAACGATTAAAACAGACAATGAAGGCAGATCCAAAATAATTATATCCCACAGAAGTAAAAAGTTGGAAAAAATTTCAAGCATGGTGACACAACATCCATCCATCCATCCATCCATCCATCCATCCATCCATCCATCCATCCATCCATCCATCCATCCATCCATCCATCCATCCATCCATCCATCATCCTCTATTTTATCAGGAAACAGAGTCTTTATCCAAGGCCTCACCAACTAACCCCAGCTGACGCTGGGATGACCAGACATCTCTTTCCACAGCCACCTCTTCCAGCTCTTCTGTGAGGATTCCAAGGCATTCACATGTCAGCTGAGAGGCATAAGCCCCATCTCCATTGTCCAGTCTCACTCTATTTGATTCATGTTTGTTTGTTTCTGCTCAGGTGTGTGTGTGTGCGCCTCCATGTAAGTGTGTCCCTCACTTTGTGGGCAGATTGTCAGCATGCGGCTCCAACCGTTGTGGTAAAGAGGGAAAAAAATGTCGTTGTAGTTTTATTGTCCAGTAGTCTGACCTTTTTTTTTTGTAATGGCACTGTTTATACATAAGTGCTTGTGTATCTGTGGGCAGCCAGTTTGTCTGAAACTTCCCGGGATATCTGCTGATTTCAGACGGATCCGGCCAGTCTCCAGGAAGAGTTTGCTGAAAAAATTTACAAGTTCTGCCTCAGCTCAACCAATCCACGGGCAGAAGTCTGCTGTTGTTAAAATCATAAGCTCGCAATACTCTGTGTCACCTGCTTAGGACCACCGCAGATGTGGTTCTGAAAGCACAGTTGGAACCTGAAAAGGAGACACATTTGGCTGAGGCTGAATGGAGGAGAACTACATACAAGCATACCATGGACAAGGGGCTGTAATCTTTCCAGCATCTCCTTGGTCTTCCCAGGGTTTCCTCCTTGTTGCACAAGCCTGAAACACCTTCCTACGTAGGCGTAAAAGAAGCATCCTTACCAGATGAATCACCTCAACTGGCTCCCATGGAAATCAGGGCAGAATAAAGCACCTTCCAGCACCCCTGCTAAGGACTCTATTAAGGTTGAATACTCCAAACCATTGTTTGGCGCATGGGCATAAACAACCATCAGAGCCTGTCCCCCCACCTGAAGGCGTGGGAAAGCTACCCTCTCATCTACTGGGGAAAACTCCAACACACAGACACCAAGTCTACGGGCAAAAAGTTGACCTGCAACAGCTCGGCGCCTCTCACCATTGGTAAATATAAWAATAAGGTCCAGTCCCTCTCGAGGAGATTGGTTCTGRAGTCCATGCTGAGTCCAACTATATCTAGTCAATACCAGGTCACATTCCAGGTCCCAAGAGCCAGTTTTGTAAACTAGGGTAAGAGAGCCAAGGTCCCTGCATTTGGCCTCTGCCCATTACTTTATGCACCTGACTCGTATGGCCCCTCCTGCAGGTGGTGGGCCCACAGGAAGGCAAATCTGTGATGCTTGCTCTGGCTAAGCCCRACMAAGCCCCATGGGTAGAGACCTGGTCAACAGGTGCTTGCCGATGAGCTCCTCCCCAAGGCATTGCTCCTGTGTGGGGCCTCGGCAATCTACYTCTTGGCAAGGGACTTCCTTGTTTTTGTTTATCAATTTGGATGAATTCCCAACAGCATAGCTTTTAGGATCAKTCAGGCACACAAACTCCACCRCAACAATAAGATGACAATTCAACAGAGGAGATATGTTYATGCACTTGTATGGTGGGTATACCTTTTTTGTTGGTTAGGAATGTAAGAGGTTARGGTTAGTGGGAATGCACTAAAAAGTTTTCTCACCTCCAGCATGTGGGCATCTCCTGAGATGAGCATGCAAAGGACTGGGATTTCACGGCCACTATCTGGATTTGGACAAAACATGATTTAGTGAACAAAAAACATCAAGAAAGAAAGAAAATCTAAGTTTTTACCTTTTTATTTTAATAACTATACAACTTAAATATGTAAAAAGTGACAGGTTCTTGATTTACCTTACTCATATTGTTGATTAAACTTTAAAATATATCTTTATTTAAAATTATTTCTGTTGTGTTGTCCTCCTCTCATAGACTGTGAGAATTAATGTACTTAAGCTTTATGACAACCCGGAATGTTGACCAAGGGCTAAAAACCACCTCACCCCAAATGCCTGTGCGCTGACGGGAAATGTAGTCCTCCAGATTAGAACGAAAAGCTGTCTCCCCCTCCCGCTGACCAACACTTCCATTGTCCACCAGGAGGAAAGCTTGATAGTTGTTGTCCAAGCAGCATGAGTCATGTGATGAGTTCTGGGCATAGTAACGAGCAGGAAAACTCCCCTTCAAACAGAAACAGACAGCTTAGCAYCGTAGCAGCTTTTCTTATGTTAGTTTGAGTGAAGCTGATGTCCCATTTGTCTGTAGAATGAAGCATGGGGCAGTGGGTACCTGAGCGTTAACCAGCTGCTGTCTGTTGTGGACCATACCCCAGGGTGCCACTCCAACAGCTATGACTTTTTTCTGGGACAAAGCTGTAGCTGCTGTGCCATGGTCTCGTACAGCCTCACCCACACAGCGGGAAATGCCCTCTCTGAGACCCCCCGTCAAAATCCAGGCCCCTGGACAGGAAGTTTGTAACAGTAACAGYAAAATTAAAGGACGAGACTTGATGTGATTAAGAACTATTGACTTTGAGACTCAACACAGATGTTCCTGTACACTATTCCAGTCTCTTAGTCACGGTGTTCAATGTCCATGTTCCACTGCTTTGCCTGCCTGGATCTTAGGTCCAGTTTGGTACACTAGAACCCAGCTGCTATTGTTTTTGTGCTGAGTTGTTGATTATTAGTGACACTGTGCTTGGTGTTTATTCCGTCCCTCTTTAGCCATCTTTTTACATCAGTCACTTCATCAGTTTGCAGGTGGTACATGCAATCCAGCCTTATCTTTCTATGATGGTTCGTTTTGATTTTCCTCTTCAACAGCAGGTTTCTGCCAGAGATGGAATTGTTTACATTAATTATAATAATAACAATATTAATATTGTTATTATTATTAATATTTAAAATAATAATAATAATAATAATAATAATAATAAAGAAGTGTTTGATTTACTTGTCACCTCTCGTGTAACAATGATGAAATTTGGTAAAAATCCTAATTTCATATGTGAATCATTTTTATTTCACCAAAGGAAGGACTGCACTTCTTCCCACAGCATCAAAGTGTTCAGGGGTCGGATTTATAAAGCTTGCGTACGCACAAAACGAGCCCAGAAACTTGCGTACGCCACTTTTCACGCAAAGTTTGTGATTTATAAAAACCAAACTAGATGTGAAAATGTGCGGTGCCTCACGCCAGCTCTGACCCATGCGTACGCTCATTTTGGGGACGGGAAGCTGTGAAACAGATGGTAAAGTGAGGAATTACAACCACACTGTGTAATGATCACTGTCAGATATTTAATTCCACTTCATAATCAAACTTAGATTTTTATTCAACTTTATCATCAGCTTTCTTAACGGTATTATTTTTGCTTCTGCTGCTGAGCCATGA